AGTCTCATGGAGATATTGGAGCATCTAATTAGTTTTCTCGGAACTTCAGAGATGAATGAAACACACCAACAACTGATTTTGCCATAGACTTTTCTTGTTTCTCCTTATATGGTTTCTCTAATCTCCTTCAGTTTGTTTTTAATCGCAGAGAACAGAGTAGATAGAGAGATCGAGAAAATAAAAGTAAAACACCCATAATTATTGTTTCATATCTTTCTATAGATGCATAAAAAGATAGAGAGAGACGTACCGTCAGCTATATTGTCAATCCATAATTTTTTATTGGGATCGCAAGATGGAGAAGAGCAAAGAAGTTTGTGATAGAAAGATGTAGAAGAGAAAGAATTGTAACGGTAGAAGATGAAGAGTAAAGAAATATATGATAGAAAGACGTAGAAAAGAATGAATTGTAACGGTAGAAGACGAAGAGTAAATAAGTTTATGATAGAAAGACGTAGAAGAGAATGAATTGTAATGGTAGAAGATGAAGAGTAAAAGTCTTAGATTAAATATAAAACATAAAATAAAAGGAAAAAATGGAGAAAAAAGAAAGACATGAATACTAGTACAAGGAGATGTCACGTCAACATTGTATGTTTCTGCTTTATAGATATATATAGATACTATTTATTTCCATAATTATTCATCGTTATTCGTTAAATGTATGTGAAAATAGTTGGGGTCTTTAAATGACGTAAAAATTGTATTTTTTTCTGTAACATAAATAGAAGTGTATGAAAATGTTGGTAGTAGCGGAATAAATGAGTCGATTATATATGATTGAAGAAGCATATGTATGAAAAGACTAAAGAAACCCGTATAGAATATGAACAAATACAAGTATTAGGCATATTCATCGGTTGACATCTATTGAATGTGACGGGAACTGAACCGATTCAATCATTCATTGGCTGTTGAATTTTGCCAACCGATCCGATATAATTGAATGTATGATTGGATTGGTTCCATTCATTGGATACTTTTATTGGATATCCATCAGATATACAATGGATGATCTGATGGGATTGGATCCATCAGGTGTGTTAACTCAATCTAATTCTTTAACAATTATACAGATTAATTAATCACTTTTAATATGTATTAAAACCAACACACGAGAAGTTATAAATTCAAAGCCTCACATAAAACAAATCCCGATTTAAGCAATTTGAAAATAAATTAATTGGATGATAGTTGGATGGACAACCGAAGATGGTCATCAAATGATTAATTGGATGTTTATCGGTTCGGTTCAGTTCGTTTTGGTTGGTTCTAGATTGTCATCCAAGAACTGATCCAAATTGGATGTTGAAATTTTCAGTTTGATCCAATCCATTTACAATTGGATATCCAATTATGATCGATCGGTTTTAATTGGATTGGTTGATTTTCTACAAACCCCTAACAAGTAGTAACCTCCAATAGAGGGTTTGAAGGAGAATATTTTTCACGAATCAAGTTGAGATAGTCCATCGTGGTCGAATGTTGGTGAAGGATGAAGAAGCTACAAACTGGCAGAGGAAAGATGGGTTCTGTGTACATAGAAAAATACTGATTATCGAAAGTTAAAGACATATAAAGTATGTACATGAATATATTCGTTGATGGAATCAAATGATACATGTGTTTAAAACAGTTATTCATTTTTATCTGATTATATACATAACGAAAGACCAAAAGGTATATGTTTTATAAATAGTTATACTTTTTTATTTAAAATATAGGATCATACAAGAAATTGATCAATTTGCAAGAAGTCGAGAAGTTTCAAGATCATACATGACTGCATGTAATCCAAACACGTAATTATATATGATTAAACTCATGTTATATTGGCCGACATTTAACGAGCAACCATCCCTCTGACAAAACTAGTTTATGTCTCTTGAAAGGGTGCGTTTGGTACGCTGGATAGGGTGGGACAGGACAGAACAGGACAGAACACATTTGTCCTACGTTTGGTGTGGCTAGATGTGGAACTAAGTTGGACAAGCATAGGACACACATGTTCCACCATACTAGAACTAAGTGGAACTCAAATTTTTTCCCTCATTACCCTTCTTCCCCTACCCGGCTCATCACATTGCTTCCAGTTCCATCCCCTTTTTCATCCGCCTCCATCGCATGCTTATCAACTCCATCAACGGCGTTCATCGACCATCGACGACGAGTTCCAATCGGCGTTGCTTCTCTTCTCGACTGTTCCAATCGACGGTACACTTCTCTTCTCTTCTCGACTGTTCCAATCGACGGTACCTCATCTGAGAGATTTCCTTTTTGTGCTGAAAACCTAGATTTTCTTGATTCAAAACCATCTGCTTGTAATTTCAGAGGTTTATCGCTTCTTCGAATTAGCAGAGGTTTATCGCTTTCGTTCTTGATTTCATCAAGTGCCCAAGATTTTCTTGATTCAAGATCTGGTTTCTTGCAATTTCAACTAATTGATGACTGTGTTCGCTGTTTTCTTGAATTCGTGAGCTGGGTTTAACCTCAATTCATCTTTACCTAAAATCTGATGCATCTTGTAGTTGTTCATATCTGCTAAAACAGCACCTGATTCATGTTTCTTTGCTGGGTTTTGATTCATGTTTCTACTGATTTAGAAGAACTCGACAGCACCTAATTATGTTTGCTACTGTTTTTGATTCATGTTTGTTGTTTCTGATTCATGTTTGTTGTTCTGATTCATGTTTGCTACTGCATTTTGTTTGTTGTTTTTATTCATGTTTGCTGTTTCTGATTGCTCACTGGGGGTAAATTGGTCATTTTAACTAGTTCTGTCATGTCCTGTCATGTCTTACCAAACGCTGAACAGCTGTCCTGTCATGTCCTACCCTATCCTGTCATGTCCTATCTGCGCACCAAACGCACCCTTTTGGACGTGTTTAATCGCATTACATGTAATCATATATGATTCTGAATTTTTTTGTTTTCTCGGAAATTGACCGTCTTCGGGTCAAACCCGACTCTTTTATTTAATTAAATATCAAAAAAGAAAATGTTAATGTAATAGTAATAAATTCCATATATGTAATAAGACAACATAACTTTAATTAATTCCATATTTCTAGTTTGATTCCATTCCATTTGGTAAACTGTTGTGGATTCTATTCCCCCATTTCCACACCCTTCATCATTGAAGTCATTCTCTTCCCCCCTACAAAACCACAATATTTCCTCAATCTACTCCTCCTTCCCTCTCTTTTCAACACTCCACCTTCACTTGATTCATTACTTCCGATTTTGATTTTGATTTTGATTTGCATTTAGGATTCAAGAACAGATTTAAGAGACACAATCTGTTGGAGTAATCATTAAGATTCGTTCTGAAGGATGTCTTTCAGATTTTTCTTCCTTTTTCCGAGCAAATCTAAGCTTCAAGATGGAGAGCAGGAAAAGGAGAGATAATCGGCAACGATTTTTGTTGCTTTTCAACTAAAATTTTCGAATCCGAAACAAATTGTTGATTTATTGAACTTCATCTGCTTCTGCTGGTAATTTAATTTCGATTTTTTTCGTTCATATGATACTGATTTGAAAGGAATTGAATTACCGATAATTTGTGCTGTTTTCTTCCGCAGAGATGTCTACTACGGTGATGAGCGATGCGATGGTGATGCCGGCGATGGAATCGCCGCCGTTGGCGACGAAGTTGATAGATCAGACGGCGGATGTAGAGTTTGTGAAGTGCGATTGTTGTGGATTGACAGAAGAGTGTACGCCGGGGTACATCGAGAGAATTCGCGAGAGGTATAAAGGAAAATGGATCTGTGGATTATGTGGAGAGGCGGTGAAAGACGAGATCGTGAGGAATGAAAGGCTGATAAGTACTGAAGAAGCTATGGCACGTCATATAAACTTTTGTAGAACGCCGATCTCCTCCGGTCCACCTCCTGATCCGGCGGTTCATTTAATCGCCGCCATGAGACAGATTCTCCGGCGGAGTTTGGATTCACCGACTTCAGTTAGGTCTATGCCTTGTAGTCCGACGACGAAGAACACTGATGCTGCCGGACTTACTCGATCGGAAAGTTGTATTTCGAGCCTTGCGCTTACATCAGGTTCATCCTCGTATCATGAATCTGGAGACGACAGCGATCGGAAAAACCAAACGCCATGATGAATGAGATTTTTTTTCTGATCTAAATACATATCTTTTCTCAATAATATTTGAATCCATGATTAACATTTAAAACTGGATCGAAGACCATCGAATCTATCGCTAAGAACATGTTCCTCGTTCTTATGAACATCAAATGAAATCGATGATAAAATTTGTCAAATTTCATGGATCGGTGGCTTCCCGAGAGTAAATCGTTACATTCTTTTAACAAAAAGAAACTGATGAGTCAGAAGTCGAGAATAGTTTCTAAAAAAGGCGTATTTCGAAAGGTGAATTATATTCATACCCCTCCTGCAATAACATAGGTAAGAGGCTAAGAACCAAGTGTATCGAAGTGAGAGAGTAATGAATAGCAACGATTTCTATTTTATGTTTTTAAGGACTTTTATGATTTCTACATGCAATTAAGTGTAACTTTACGAATATACAAAGACCCGAGCCATCGTTGTATATGCATGGGACCATGCCTCACGAGCGATAACGGTGCAAGACGAATCCACAAATCAATGACGGAATGGGTTATGTTTTCACGTCATATAGTAGTACTCAATTTGTTGTTAATTCTGATTGATGAACAAGAAGGAAATGGAAATTTTAGATGGGCATTGCATGTCATTTGGACCCCCTTCGTCTGCCTGCCACATGTGAAAGCAAGCACCTTGAAGGTAATTTATGTCGTGAAAGATTCAATCGAGCCACAAGTTCCCCTACGATTACCTTGTTACAACTTCGTCCTAAATATTTAAGTACACGTGTAACCGGTTGAAGCATTAACCGGTTACCATGCTGATGTGCCAAGTGATGTGGTATCTAACTCAATATTGTTTGCTGACATGAATATCTTAATCTAAAATTAGTTTTTATGTATTGTGGTTTATTAAAAGAAATAGTTAATGTTTCAACTGGTTACCTAGGTACTTAAATGTTTAAAACTTTACATCTTAGGTACAAAAATGAAAGTTTTGAAAATACATTACCTAAAACAGAAATCAAGTTAAAGTACGTTATTTTTTCATGTAATTTACTTTTTTTATTGTTAGGTTTACTAGAGTTGGTTTCTATAAACGGGCATTCATTGAAATTGTAATCAAGATCTCTCTCTTGTTTCATTGGACATTGATTCTTTAATGTCTAGTGTATATATATTTTTACATATTAATTATGTGGTATCGTTCATCATCTGTTAATAGAAGTTTCTCGAGTCATCATGTGTAGCTTCTATGATACTGTTTATAAGATGTCATGATTGTGATTAAATCTATCTCTCCTTCAGTTTGTTGGTCTCGATTTGATCATAACATTACATTTTCGAATACGTATGAGTTGATGGATGGTAGTTTCCATGTCAAGTGTACCATCCAACTTCAAAGGATGTCATTTGTATATGACTACTGAATCGATGGTTCGACTTTCACTCTTTATGTTTTTGAAACGTTATGACATGATTGTGTTAATATGAATCTTTGTTAAAACCAGATATAGAAGGATAAAAGGTCCTTTTACGATGTCTGTGGTCCCTTTTATCCAAATACTGACGAATATAACTGTTTTTTTTTAAATTTTGGAATAATAAAACAACAAGAGCATCTCTTAGCACTCAACAAGTTGGGAAATGTCCAAAGTGAAGAAATAGTGACTCAAAATGCAAAGTTGGAAAATGGTTGTGTTTGTAGATGGATATAAATTTGTTTGTATGTGTATGCAACAAAACCAAGTCACATGCTAAGGAACCCTACATTTCAATCCATTGTTTTTTATTTATTTATTTATTCAAAAATAATTCATTAGGAAAAGATATTTCCTGAAAGCTATATTTTATTTTTAATATATTTATAAAATAACACATTGTGTATCAGTTCTTAGAGTTCTTATATTTTTTTTATGATTTTTCTAATAATTAATGTATAATTAAGAGCAAATTGTATGAAAAAGTAATGTACTTTAACTTAATTCCTATTTTGAATAACGTACTTTTAAAACTTTTGTTTTGGTACCTAAGATGTAAAATTTTAAACATTTAAGTATCCGGTTGAAACATTAACCGGTTATCATATTGATGTGGCGAGTGGTGTGGTATACAACTCAGTATTATTTGCTGACATGTATATCTTAATCTAAAATTAGTTTTTATGTATTGTGGTTTTATTAGAAGAAAGAGATTCTTCAATTGGTTATCGGAGTACTTAAATGTTTAAAACTTTACATCCTAAGTATCAAAATATTTGGTTTACAATCTGAAATTCGAGTCTCATAGCTATTGAATGCACTTTTATTCTTTTCTTTCCTCCCTTATTCTACAAATTTTACATATATTTTTTTTTTCAGGAACACGTAAAATGGAATTTATGACTGAGTGAATAAGCCATATAAGTTATACAACCAATTAAGCCACAACTAAAGAGTCTTTTAGATGATTATTTTTGTTTTTTCATATAAAAATATTGTGTAAATGATTGAAGGATATGTGGAAGTAGGTGAGATTAGGGTCCAAAAATTACTAGATTAGGTAAACCACCTCTCAAATAATTGGCCTTTTTTTCCTTCATTTCTAGATACATGTCATTAATATTCTCCATGTGACATGTTGGTGGGCCACCATTTCCAAATTCATTATTCACCCTTTTAATTATATATATATATATATATATATATATATATATAAATGTGGAGGTTCAAACGATAACACCCTTATCATATGTGATAATACACGTGAGGGAACCTGGTGGTGTGCGAAGTGCGAACGACGTGTTCTGCGACTTAGGTCGCGCCAAAGGTTATCTGCGTCTATGATTTAGCATCATGTGATGGTCTTGATGGATTATAGTATCACATCAAAAACATTCTTATCACATGTGATAATACATGTGAGGGGGCTTGGTAGTGTAAGGACGACTTGGCCCGCAACCAACATCGCGCCAAAAGTCGCATGCGTTTTTGATTTAGTATCACATGTGTATCATATGTGATGAAATAGTAATATCACATATAATTGTCTATATATATATATATATATATATATTAATCAATAAATTTTATAATATATTATTTATTTCTATTAAATAGGTATATTAATCAATAAATTTTATAATATATTATTTATTTCTATTAAATAGGTAAATGGTAAATTTTGTTTCTATATATTTTGGATATTAGTCAATATGTTTTGGTAAATGTGACTTTAATTTTCTTAGATTAATTTAATTTCTTTTGGTTTTCGATTTGTTAATTATTATATGGTGATATATATTTTTTGTATTAAATTAAATTCCTTTTGATTTTGGGATTATTGAAAAAATGTGTGATTTAAATATGTGTAACGTCTCACATTTCCATCCCTATCCCTGGGGACGGGGATAGGGATGGAAATGTGATCAAATTCCCTGATGAAGATGGAGATGAAGACGGAGACAAAGATGGGGGATCGGGGACGGGGACTGAGGTCCCCGCCCCATTACCATACCTAAACAATCATATAGAATATTGTTGATAATTGATTTTTATTTCTTAATTTAATCTTCTTAAAAAGACATTTTGTATATTTAATTATCTCATTATTCCATCCACATTATTTCTTTCTTAATTTCCAATACATTTGGGAAAGTTTTAAATACTCCATACTCTTAACGACATTGACTACACATAACACATGCATGCATTATTGACACTTGTACACTCCAATCATGCAATGTAGACAAAAAATAATAATAATTTAGAGGTTATTTTAAGTTTTCTAAATAGTTTGATGCATGATAATTAAAAGCCGTTTGCCAAACATTTATTCGGTTAACGTTTATCGGTAAAATTTAACACTGTCATTATTTACCTTGTAAGATTTTAGTCCACCAAAACAAGTATCGTATGCGACAATTTACCCAATAAGCGCTTACCGTGATAAGAGTCGTTGTCATCACTTACTGGGTAAGACTCATGGTCCTTGTCTTGGCTCTTACTGGGTAAGATTCTTGGTTCTTATCATATTTATCCCGTAAGATAATGTGACTTGATGTTCACTTACCTGAGTCAGCGTTTGGTAAACGGGCCCCTAAGTAATTGGAATTGTAAAAAGGCTCTTATGATATAATGTAAAAATCGTTGGACTGTAAAAAGTAATCAAACTAAATTGTATCTAAAGGTTTAGAAGGTTTGGTGATCCAGTCTGGTCTAGGGTTCGAGGTATCAGATTGACGGTTTAAACCGTCAAACCGTCTATTTATAATATTGTGTATATATATATATATAGAGAGAGAGAGAGAGAGAGAGAGGAGCGATCAAATGAAAATCACTCCAATTTGTAAAAACCGTAAAAACTACTTTCATCCGTCGTTAATTTTATGAAATTTTTTCATGAAATTGTTAATCTTGTGAAATTGTTTCATATAATACTTTTTTTATGAAGTTGTTTCATATGTGGTTATGAAATTGTTTCATATACT